TTTTGAGGGTAATGTCTTCGACTAGATACAATTTGTGATCTTTTGACGTATCATTGAAAGAAATCGGTTCGGTGAGAGCTGAGGAAAAGTGGTAACAGAAAAAAAAAAAAAAAAAAAAAACACATCTTAGTAAAACCAATACCTTCTCAGCTTCGCATCGAAGCTAAAATAGGAAAATTATAAATACTAAAAACGTTGTAATGATAATATATCGTTGTTAAACGCTTTTTAAATGCTATGTACTACATAAAGTTTACATCAAAAATGCTATAAACGAATAATCAACGTTTAAAGTAACTATTATAATAAGCGCATTTATATAAATGCTTTTGTAAAATAAACGTGAAACAAAAATTACAAGCCCTGTTTATTTATGTTATAACCTGAATACATTACTTTTTCTTCGACTGCGACTTTTCTTATGTTCCATAAAAATTCCAAAATAGAAAACAAAAATGCTATAAAACAACCTAGAACTAGTATTACAAACATTCCTCCTACTTCGCTTACGTCTAACTCTGTTGAGTCCTCTTGTTGTTCCTTTGATTAACAAAAAAATGTTTTATGCTATGATATTAATACATCAAATATATGTGTTGTTATAAAAATACCGGGCAAGTTTGACCATCACCCATAGTCCACCATTTATTTTTTAGTTCCATTAATTTTCCAGACTCAGATAGTTTTAACACAGCCATACTAAATGCAGTTCTATGTGGAGCATCTGCACAAAATCAATATTATTGTGTATTATTAAATTTTAAAGCACATTGCACAATTTGGCTGATCTATAAGGATAATTTGGTCAGGAAGATATTAAGTTAGGTATGTAAATTTTTGATATATAATATTCCTTTCAGTTCTTTCGTGTTTTTCAAAATATGGAAATATGATAATAAAGGTTATTTTAATTTATTTTATCTTAAAGGAGGCAATATTGATTTAGATTACCTATGTTATTCTTTCTGTACAAATATATTATCGTTTTTATGTCAAAAGTACAATGAATAATAAAGTGATATAATATATTTAATAATTTTAAAATACGTTGATGTATAAATGAATTAAGTTTCTATTAATATGTACAGTTAATATTAATATAGTATTAATTAAATAGTTATTTAACGAGCGATTTATTTTGTTTAAATTTATGAAATATAATTAAAATGTATATAATCCAATAAATTAAAACGGTCATAAAGAATAAGGTTTTATTGTATTATAAATCTTAAACATTAAAAAAAAATTAGAAATTATAATATTTATAATTTATAATCTAAATTACTGTGGATTGTTATATCAATAAAATACAAATATATTTATTCTTAAAAAAAAAAAACGTATTTAAATCTGATCTAATTTAAATTTGACCAAATAACTGTGAATGGGTTTCACGAATTAATTTTACTAACTGAAAGGTAATGCTATTCCATAAGCCTTGTTGTCCAACCATGAACCAACTTCTGTTAAATCACAATTGCGTTTTACTTCGTATTCTATAGTGCTAGATTCCATAAAAAAAGCATACGCTTCTCTTTCCTTTTTTACTCTATCTACACCTTGATTATTGTCTGACATCATTACAGTATCACCATAAGTTTCCATTACACTCCACATTTTTTTATACAAATTAACGTTGGAGTTCTAATGATTTCATAGAAAAAAATTCTACTTTAAAATATAAAACTCAATTATTAAAGAACATTACCTCAAAAAATCCAGCTGTAGATTGTCCTAATACACAACCATATTTGATAGCTGATTGCTTATCTAAATCTTCAACTCGCTTTATTGGTGATTCTTTTCTACTTGATGTAAGAAATGCTGTCCAATTGGCTGTGTATGATTGTGTTACAATAAGTGCAAAAAACCACCACATTGCTGCACATACTCTGGTTGAAAAAGCTCTGTAATATGAGAAAATAAATAACTTATAATTTTCATACACTTTTTGTATTGATGTCAATAAAATATCAGAAAGAATATCTTTATATTAAAATTTAAAATTTTTAGTTAAAAATTATTTATTTATCTAGTGTAAGTTATTTAATTATTTTTAAAAGTATCAGTTCATATTTTGACGTAAAATAAAAAAATAATATTATAATTATACTGTCGCATATTCAAAATTAATTTAATGAAAGTTTAATTTTATGTTTTATTATCATAAAATACATTTTTAAATAGAGAAATTTTTTTTAAATAACTAATTTAGAATACTGCAGTCTTGTAGTGTCCCTGATTTTAAGGATTTACCGTGGTAATATATCACTCCCTTGGCACAAAATAGACCCAAGTGAAAACCATAAGCAGTTTATTAGAGATAGTGAATTTTCTAATTGTTCAGGTTCTGTTGCGCAAGGATGTGGATTTTGCCATTCTTTTGGCGCAATTCTAAGTAAAAGTTATATTTTAAATACATCGACTCATTTTTTAAATAAAATATATTGTTTACTAACCTAGCTAGTAAATAAAGTATTATTGATAAACTTAAATAAGCTGTAGCCGTATAAATCCATACATGAAATGATAAAGGTTGAGTGAATGAAAATAAATTAGTTTCTGGTTCTTTTGGTTTGCTAAATAGAATACTAATTCCTAAAAATTTAAAACTAATATACTACATAAGTAAATTTGTTGGGATATTCTAACAATTGAATTTTTATCAATTAATTTGTATACCCAAATTCATAAAAGGAGTTGTGAAATCTACGGCAGTTCTCCTTTCGTGTGTTATAGTAAGATCACACACTGCTAGATCAGCTCTCTAAACAATACATAAATTATATTAAAATTTAAAGAATAAATTTATATTTATTTTTTATCAAATATTAATATTATCTTTATTATGAGTTACAATAACTATTACAACAAATATAAATTAAAACATTAACTATTATTATTACCAACTCTTGTACTTCTCCTATTAAACCACTCCACTTTCCAGTTTTTTTATCTTTTTTACCATTTCCATCATTTCTTAATCGAAACTCATAAGTAATGTTAATCTCTCGAGCAATCATCTCTATTAAATCTACAACATATCCTTGATATTTGTCATTTCCTACACGATCTTTATGGTCATCTTTTAACATCATATATGGTTCAGTCTGTAATAAAATGTCACCATTAATTCAAATCTTTACAAAAAAATTTAAATTTATTGCTAATATAATATAAATAAATTTATTAATAAAACAATTACTATTTTTGAAACCACTATAAATGTCTTATTCATATTTGCTTGAACCAAGTCATGTAGCATTTGACTTCGGGTTCTAGTATATGTCATACCATTTTCTGGATCCCATACACCAATCTTTTTGAATCCAGTTTTTGTTAGTTCTACCATTTCTAGAGTAAAATAATTCCTTTGGCCTGACTGTGAATCAAAACGCATTACACCAGAAAGACCCTCGGCTTCTATCTGCAGTTTAAAAAAATTACATGAAATTCGTCCTAATTTTCATAATTTATCACATACTACTCTCATGTAGTTGATTAATGCATAACCGTTTGACCATCCCGTAGAATTATGATCTGAACAGTTTTTGGGTTCTGATATAATTTTGTTTGTGCCTCCTAGTCCATGTACTGCTTTTGCAAAAATATTGACAGCATCATATAGTATCAATGCGTTAACCTATGGAGTTGAATAGTTATGGTAATAACTTTAAAATATTTTTTATTTAATTCTATAATTTTGAGCTCACAGTAGTAGTATGAGCATTCAATTCTTCAATATCTAAACCCATCCTTTGTCGGACAAAAGAAAGGTCAGACACAACATCGTTGACGGTTGGTGTAGTTGGATTTATGAGCCTAACTGTGGTAATATTAGTTCGTTTGAAATTTATATTGCTATAATCTACAGTGTGTGCATCCTACAAAAAAATTTCAAATAGTATCATAAAAAACATTATTACAATACAATTAGTGTTCAAAATTAAGAATATTGAAGTATAAAAAATTATTTGAAATATGTGTTAATTTTATTTCTAAGAATGTTACTGAAATTAATAAAACATGTAAAATAGTCACTTAAAATAAATTCTATAGATATTAGGGCTACTTATTAAAAATTAATTCCCCTACTTTTAGTGAAAATTTACATCCCCAATCTTTTATTTTAGCTCAATAATTTTAGTTTTATATTTCCTAATATTTAGTATAACATACGTTCTTAGTAAGAAAAGTCATATTTTCTTATGAAACTTTTTTATGAAATAGGAAATTCAATTAAACAATGTTTTTTAAATTATGGGATGATTTGTATATTCCTAATCCATCAATTATTTATAAAATAAATGCATTATATGAAATATTTTTTTTTTTGAGGGAAGCAATTGGGCCCTTTCTCACTCTGACCGCTATTAGCGTGTAATGTTTGTAAAATTTTTGACTTTTATATTGTTATTAGAGACAAATAAAAGAAACTGTAGGACAATGGGGTCGTGGCACAATGTGGACGTGGCATAATTAGGACAAGTATAGATGATATCTGACAATGATTAGGTAAATTTATATTGAAGATAGGTCGTCGGGATAAATTTTTTTTCTTTAAATTTTAGTGAGATACATAAGCTTTAACAAATATTTAAAAGACGCAATATTTCCGGAACATTTTCAAAAGTTAAGTTGAAAACATTGAATTTTGTGAAAAAGTTTCTATTTTTTTAATTTCTCTCTGTTGGCAAATAAAGAGTCAGATTTTCAAAAAAATTAAATCAATGAAAGGATAATACCTAAGATTTCTATATATATATATATAAAAAAAAATTATTTTGATTCATTCATTTTTCAAAAGTTATGGCAGTTTTAAGAGAAAAAAATGTCAACATTTACCGATTTTAAAAATTGTAATTTTTTGGTTTTTTCTCCATTTATAGAGAACGAGGAATTTTTTTTCAATTTTTAAGGGTAATGTCTTCAACTAGATACGATTTTTGATACTTTGATGTATCATTGAAAAAAATCGGTTCGGTGAGAGCTATGAAAAAGAGGCGATAGACATAAAAAAAAAAAAAAAAAAATGTAGTTTAAAAATGCAAAAATTTTAATAAATATGTACGTATATATATGTATTATTTATTAAATTTTTTAATTTTATCAAATAAAAATAATTTTGTGTTACCTATCATTTTTTACAACTCATCACATTTAAGAATTATTTCTAATTTAAAATTTAAAATATAATTTTTACCGGGGAAGTTATTATAAAAGTATGGTATTCATCAAGTAAACCAACGTCTTCAGCTTGTTTTAGTACTTTAAGAATGATATCTGTGTCACAGTCTAATACAATATGACCTTCTAGCGATTTTTTCACGTTTTTAAGTAATGGTCTGAAAACATAATCTAAATATGAGTTTTTGTAAATTATATTGACAGTAATTTATTGGCATATTACCTAAAGTCATCATTTTCTGGTAATTGAATTATGACAAGAGCAGCTGATTCTGGGTCAGATATTTTAGATATCCCAGAAAAATCTTGTATTAAATGTTGGAGTCTTTGTAAACCATTTTTTCGCTGGTAAATTAAGGTGAATGAAGTCCAATCCATATCTTTCACGATAGCAGTGTATCCACGACTTAACAACATTGGCTCAGGAAACAAGTTTATATAATAGTTAGGTTGTTTTTTTGGAGTCATTTCCCATCGAAATTCTATTCGTGGTATTTCTATTTTGTCACAAATCGACTGAATTATGTTAGAAGATTCAAAACCAGCTGCTCCAAAAAAAGCGCCAACACCATTTTCTAACGTGTTACACACTACAATCACAATTATTTAAAAAAATAGGTGTACATATACTTTAACCTAGTAATATTTATAAAGTTTAGTAAATGTCACACGAAAATATTCGCTTCCCTTACCTGTTTTACCAGCGTTATATACATCGTTCATATCAATGGTCTTAATTTGGGCTTGAAGTTTGACGTCATATAAATTTGGATCCAAGTTCACTTTATGAACTGCTAATTCAAATGCTCTTTGTTCTATTGAGTTTTCTGAAGGGAATAGACCTACTGTAAAGTAATAATTTCAATAACTTATAATAAACTTATGAATACTTTGTATTAAAAAAAAAAAAAAATTATTTTCTAGATGAAGTTCTATAATAAAATTTACCGATAGTAATTGGTTCTACAACTTCAGAAGTGACCACACTAAGTATTGAAATCAGAAGCTCTAGAACTAACATCTTGATAGACGATAAATGTACAATAAATGACTAAAAACCGAAGAGAAAATTGAGAGATAATTCTGCAAGAAATCTCCCTGTTTATTTAAATGTCTTGGGTTCTAAATTTATGTCACTAATGTTAAATGTTATAGGAATAAAACAGATCGTTTTTGCCAATAGATATTTTTATTTATTTATTACAGTTTAAATTTTTTTTGGCAACTACGTTAAAGGAATAAGTCTGTAGAAATTACAATATATCTAAAGGTTATATCTAAAGACAGTCTACAAAGTATTTTAGTATTATTGAATTAGAATCAACATAAAGGTCAAAAAAAATTGAGTAGTAATACTATCTTCGGGGAATCTAACTTTACATAAATAAACAAATGGGGCTTTTTTAATTAAAATATTCTATTAGATGATTATAAAAAATGAAATTTCATGAGTTTACTGTAAGCAAATGAATGTGATGCAAGACAAATTTATTAATATTTTAAAAGTCATTAGACATTTTTTCATCTAATGAGAAATAATACAGATGTATCAAGTAAGGATTCTTACTAAAGATAGTGTTAATATGAAATATTCATTTTCAGATAAAACTAATTTTACCCAAAAATTAACTTACATAACATAGTACATTGTACTTTTAAACTAATCCCCACAATTATAGTCTTTCCAAAAAATCGAAAATTGGCATTTTCAATGGTTGTAATTATTTTAGATATTTTTATCGATCAAAAAATTTGTGAGGACTTTTCAACATTCGAGGGTATATTTTGTTTAGATTATTATAATATCTTCAACTAGATGTAATTTTGATTCTTTAGGAGTATTATTCGATAATTTTAGTCCAGTAGAAGGTGACAAGGTGACAAACACATTATTCTGAAACGAATACCTCTTAATATGAATGTGTTAAAGCTTTCATGGATTGTCTTGTTACTTGAAGTGCTTAAGGATTTATCTATGTTTGTAGTTGAGTTCTGACGTTTTATATATAGTTCAAGTATAGTTGCAGCCACCGACTAGTAACCATTACTCTGAAGATTGACTCTGCAATGAGTCCGAAACGTCAGAATTCAACTACAAACATGAATATATCCTTAAGCACTTCAAGTAATACCTCCTGAGTTTGATCAACATCAAAGATAAAAAAATAATGAAATAATGACAAATATGTGTATTTGCAAGTGCAACGATAATTTAATACATTATTGTATTTTTTAAATTGGGTTCATTGACGTAGATATTAGGGTTGAAAACAGGACTAGAAACCAAAATAATTTTGATTTTTGGTAATTTTTTGGTTATTAGTTCATCTATATCGAATTTTTTTGGCTTCAATGTGTATTATTTTACCATGATATGTTTATTTTTTTTTTTATCTGTCACTAATTTTTCTCAGCTCTCACTTACCGATTTTTCTCAACAATACGTCAAAATATCACAAATCGTATCTAGTTTGAAGACACTATCCTCAAAAATTGAAAATTTTTTCCTGATCATTAAATAAAAATTTTTATTAGGATAAAATAATGTATTTTTTAGATTGATATTTGATCAGGAATTTATATAATTACTATTAACAGTAAATTTACAAGGAAATTCAAAATTTCGTTAAAATCACTATTTTTATTGTAATAAATCATGTAAATAGAAGTATTAGTACTTATTTCTATGCAACTCTTGATGTTTAAATAATTATTTATATTATATTATATATATACTGCACATAATACATTCTGCTAGTTACGTATTTTTGTAATTTAAATATATTTATTTCATATTTATACATGACCTATTAATCAAACACGAATATTTGTTATATTAATTAGAAGGATTTTGGTATTATTTAGTCCATATGCGAAACTCTAATTGTAGATTTTAAATCGGTGCAAAAATGGGTTCAGAAAAGTACACTGCCCTCCACTGAATATAATCCCTATTTTTCATATTAAAATCAGTTCTTTCGGTAATTTCAATATACACAAAATCTGCGACACTCTACTCATGATTGTCACTCTATGGAACATAGTTTTTTTTTAAATTTAAATTGGTTTTTAAGATTAAACAGAACTTAAAATAAATTTAAAGTGAATTTTGTTTTGTTGAATCTTTTATTTTAAGTTAATTTATACTGTTACCAATATGACAGTTGTTAACCATAATTACGTACTCGTACCGGTTCATATGGTCAACTCATAATTCCTACTACATCAGTAATATGGTTATCTATACTACCGGCCGATCAGCTGTTACACACGTACACACCACACATACATATACCACGCAATTTTATTATACTAATACAATTTGTTAATATAGACGTTTATGTTTTGTTGTAAAAACGTTACGGTCAAATTTCAAGTATAAAAATGTCATATAGTTTTTCATTCTTTTCTTTCGCACTAATTGCGAGGATCTTTGAATGTACAGCTACTAATTAGCTCAATAACTTAATAATTTTTCACAATAGCCAGTAAATTATATAATTTATATTCAACTATTAGATATTTTTTTTTTGTTGTTTATTAACATTAAGTTTAAGTTTTCTCATTATTATTGAACCATAATTGTTTAATTATCTATTCTATCGATATTTATTGAAAATTGTTAATTTTTATTTTAGTATAAAATTGTTATTTGAGTTCGAATAATTATTCATATCAATTATCTTTATATATTATTATTGATCAAATTACGTCAAATTATTTAAATTTTGTAAATAACTCTAAGGTTAACATTTTGAATTACTTATTGTTCACTTTAAAGAAGCTTATGTTACGATTTATTATTGATGGATCAGAAGGGTCATAAATTGGATTTTTTATTTCTGTAAAATGCATTGATATTTTTCAAATAAGCTGAAAATATTATTATTTTATTAATTTAATTGAGTTTTATTTATTTAATTAATTTATAAGCACTAAACACATTGATACATTTGTTCACAACACAGATCACTGGTTTTGTGCAGGCGAATCCTCGCACCTCCAGTGACTCTTTTTACACGGTATTACATGATCATTTTTCTCATCATGGAAATAAATGTCTATTAATATCATAAACCTCAAAAATTTAAGTATTTTTTATTTTCATAATAAACTCAACCCAATTTTAAATATTTATTGTGAGGTTTTCTTACTGAATAGTCTTAGATAAAAGTCACAAATTTTTCAAGTCAAACTGAATTTTAAATTAATTTATAATTAATAATATTATTGGGCATAAGTACATTGATATCCTATATATATTGGGTAGCTTGTCACGTCGCTAATGTTTTTGTTCTAAAAAACATCGCGCCGGTAGACAACGTATACAAACTTAAGGAAATATTTTTAGTGTTTAGATTTCACACCCATGTACGTCATAGAAGTATGTCAATATTATAATTTATAAATATGAAAAATGTGCAAGATAAAATGTTATTATTCAGAAACTATAATTTTAAAGTAAAAATTAAGTGGATCATTTACATTAATATGACACGTAATCAAAAAATTATGGTGAAATTTTTAATTTTTTTTTCAATTTTTTTTTCAAATTTAAGTGTGGATGCTGATAGGCAATACCAGGTTTTGGGTAACATAAAAATATTAAGTAAATTCTTTAATAACTCCGAATGGCAGAATTTTAAAGACATTAAAACAGTAAAATATTTACAAAAAGTATGTACATTAGATAAATTTTACAAAACGCCCATAAATATAATAAATGGTAATAATCATATACGTGCTGCAACTTTGATTCTTGCATGTTCATATGGTAATATTTTAAAGAAAATCTTTTCAATCATCGAAAAATTTATTCAGCATTGTATAGAATCTTTTAAGAAAAAAGATAATGACCCAGATAACTCCAACCAAACCTATGGGTACTTTTGTATTAACACTTTTTTAGACACTATACATAATTTAATTCCAATAACATCGAAAATGAAAAATGCCATGGACACTATTGAAAGCTTTCGTTTTAACCCATGGTTTATAAAGAATCGTCGTGTACGTTATATTTTGAGTAATACTTTTCAATGTTTAAAAGAAATACCAGAAATGTTTAAAAAGTCATCAATATCACAAAATAATCCGATATCTAATGAACGAATATTAAACCAGTGTAACGACTTTTTTACAGGAAGAATAAAGGAAGTCGATATAGACATAATTCATTTTTGTGTTGTAGAATCAGAAAATTTGAATTTAACATGGAACAATTTATTAGAAAAATTTAATAATAATCCATTGAAAAATACACCAAAGAACTATTTTTATAATTTCCTTCACGAAGAGATTAATGAAATTATTAAATCGTCTATTGAAGAAAAATATGATAAATTAGGATTCATTTACCATCAAGAANAATTAGGATTCATTTACAATCAAGAAACTAATCAGATGTTAATACCAAATCCGGATAAAGTAATTTTGAGTAATAGTATAAAGTTCCCACACCGTAGAGTAGAATCCATACCATAATAACGACTAAACTAGCTCTTACATAAAGAAGATCATATTCATCATTTTTATTTGTATCATTAATAATACTTCTATTATTGTCAATAAGTTAAACGTATTTAATTAAAGTATTAATTTAGTAATTCTAATTAAGTTAAACATGAGTAATTATAATTTTTTATTCCTTTGTATAATATACAAGATGTTAGAAATCTTGTAAGACACTTATTTTCTCATNATAATATACAAGATGTTAGAAATCTTGTAAGACACTTATTTTTTCAGAAATTATTGACAAATTTAAATTAAACCTGAAAAATGTTTAAATTATTTTATTTTTATAATAAATCCAATCCAAACTTCAATGTTCAATTAATGGTAAATATTCATTGTGAGCTTTTTACTAGGTAGCTAATCTTAGGGCTCTATGTTTTTGTTCTAACGAACATTGCGCCGGTGGACAAGGCTAAAGGTCACAAATTTTTAAAATCAAACAGAAATTTAAATCAATTTAATAATAAATTTATTGGACTAAGTGCAATTCATTTCTATACTTATTGGGTAGCTTATTTTTGAGTTTAATGACAGTTTGAACAAATATAGCCTCGGCGGACAGTGTAAAGAAACTTACGAATATACTTTTAGTGTTTAATTTTTGTCTTGGTAATTATTGAGCCGTATCCTTTGAAGGTGTAAGTGCCGGGATACATTGAGACACTATTATATCACTTTGATAAAATTTTTACAAGATAATAATATTTTTGAATCTTGTTTTGGCTAGATCAGAGGAAGCTTTAAAAAATATTGGTGTCGATAAAATATACTTTTTCAAAATTATACTTATTCAACAAAAATGAGGGTACATTATAAAAGTTCTATTTATCATAAAATATTATAATTTTCATTTTTATCATTAATAATCCTTTTATTATTGTCAATAAGTTAAACGTATTTAATTAAAGTATTAATTTAGTAATTCTAATTAAATTAAACAGGAGTAATTAAACATTTTTATTCCTTTAAATAATACACAAGATGTAAGAAATCTTGTAAGACATTTATTTTCTCAGAAATTATTGATAAATTTAAATTAAACATGAAAAATGTTTTAATTATTTTATTTTTATAAACAAAAACGGTAGCACAGTGGGGGTCGCCGCACTGTTGTAATATATTCGTCACTATTATAATATGAAATAACAGTGGACTACTCGTGTCCACAATAATAGGTATTCATTTAATCTTTTCATTTAAGAATATTAACGCTTTTATTTTAAAATTATATTCATATGCTTAAAATATCACGATTCTTTTTAAAATAAATAACTTAGAGAAATATTTAACAAACATATTTTGTTGTTTAATTATATTATATTACACACGATTCAGTCATAAGTCAATTATTACTCACCTTTAAAAATCACTCTAAGAAATTCATAATTTATACTTGTCAGTTTTTAGCTTCGATGCGAAGCTGAGAAGGTATTAATTTTACCATGATGTGTTTTTTTTTTTTTTTTTTTTNGCTTCGATGCGAAGCTGAGAAGGTATTAATTTTACTATGATGTGTTTATTTTTTTTTTTGTGTCTGTCACTACTTTTTCTCAGCTCTCACTGGACCGATTTCTTTTAACAATACGTCAAAAGATCACAAATCGTATCTAGTTGAAGACATTACCCTTAAAAATTGAAACATTTTCCCTCGTTCCCCGCAAATGGGGGAAATATCCAAAAAAATTACAAATTTAAATTTTGTCATTTTTTTCACTTTTTATTCTTAAAACTTCCATAACTTTTTCAAAATTAAAAAAATAACATAATTTTTCTTTAAAATAAAACCTTAGATATTTCCCTTTCATTTGATATCATTTTTTTGAAAATTTAACACTTAACCTGCTCATGGGGGGATTTAAAATTGCAACTTTTTTACAAAAACTAACTTTTTCAACTTAATTTTTGAAAATGTTCCGGAAATACTGCGTCCTTTAAACATATATCAAATTAAAGCTTATTTTATGTGCTATAAAATGAAAAAAAAAATCTGTCCCAACACTTTATCTTCTGTATGTAAACGGATGCCGTAGTTAAAAAAACGCTATTTTTGTGTTAAAATTTTTGATTTTCGATTTTAAATTTTCAACTTAAAAATGCTATAACTTTTCGAAAAATGTACTTATCAGCACAAATTTTTTTTTTATATATATATTATAAGTACATCTTTCATTTGACATAATTTTTATTAAAATTAGACAATTTCCCCTTATATAGGGGCGTTCAAAACTTGAAACATTGTAAAAAAAATAAAACTTTTTGAACTTAATTTTTGAAAATGTTCCGGAAATACTGCGTCCTTTAAACATATATCAAATTAAAGCTTATTTTATGTACTATAAAATGAAAAAAAAAATTGTCCTGACGACCTATCTTCTATGCTCAAATGGCTACCGTATTCAAAAATATGCTATTTTTCTATTAATATTCTAGGTTTTGTATTTTATTTTATTTTAAAATATCTTATAAGGGTATTACACTCATGAAAGTCATGAATATTTTATAATTTAATTGACAAAGAATAAAGTTCATAAGACATAAGAAATTAAGCTTTTTTTATTTTTTTAAAGTCGAAAAAGTATTATTTAAATTAAAGTTAGCTTAAAAAGCCAATTTTATCATGCGACGAAAGCAAAGAACAGTTGCCGAGTCGGTAACACTTACGTCTTTCATGCCTACGGTACGAGGTTCAAATCCGACGGTGACTATTAGTATGTTGTAAAACAAAAATAAGAATGGGATATGATAAAGATGGAAGGGAATGTTATAGGAGTATCGCAAAATAAGAACTATCCCTTTTCTCGAGGTGTGTTGTTCGAGGGTCACTTGCTATTTTAAATACATGCACAATAAATTAGGATGTTGTAATGATGATAATAATGCCATGAGTTTTGACGGTTATCGATGATAGGTGGGATTAAGTCACCTCGTGTGTCTACCCAGAGTGGTATGGTGGCTATACATATGAACCTCCAACCTAACTCCTGAAATAGACACGTATCAACGATATAACTCTGCCAAGTAACTCTGTACAAACATTATTGATTTATTAAATTTATTTGGTATATTTATTATTATTGATAATCACTTGATTTTCCTGTATGCCTACTTAATCTATGTACTCATAACATTTAATTCTAAACCTTATTTATGTTTGGTGAATTTATTAGATTCCTACCTTAATATTTTCTGCTATACTCTTAAATAAATAGATGTTGTATTTTGTGAACAAATATAACTGTGTTGACGGCGGATCACTTCTTGCATATACTTCGTTGTGTGGAATGATCGAGCGTAGTGAGTGCCTCTGTAAATATCTGATTGCATCTGTCTCAGAATGCTCTTTATTTTTGGCTTTTTATATTAAATTTGACCGTAGTTCAAAGGCAAGAAGTAATCCCCGACGCCACCGTTATTTCTTTATTAATCGTAATTTATTACATTTTCATCAATAATGATCTACATATTATAAAATACTATCATATCTTATATAATAATTTAGACATAGTTTATTACCCTACATCTTATGTGCTACCATTACATATTTTTTATTATTTCCTGTTTGTTTTATATAATTAATATATACTCTTTTTCTACGAAATTTCATTAGTATTTTTAAACATTTAAAAGGTACATATATATATATCTTATTTTTATTGGTATACATTTTATTTTGTGTAATTGATTGATTGAAGTCTTAAATAATACATTATGACATTAATGATGTACTATGTATATCATTACATTTTTGTGGTTACGATTTATTTTGCCAACCCTCACTAGACCTACTATTTCAACTATACGTCAAATGATTACAATTCGTATTTAGTTTAAGTTATTACTGATAAAAATCGAAAAAATATTCCTTATTCAAATAAAAAGTAGCTTAACCAGCTTTTTCCATACAAACAATTAAAATCATTAATTTCTAATATTCTTAAAGTATTCATTGTCGAATTAGATTTGATATGATAACAGTATTCAACTACAAAAATAAATGATTTTACTTTGTAATAGATATTTAGCACTTATGATTTTATTTTCTTTGTATTTTTATATTGATGATTTTTATAATAAACCACATTATTATGGGAGATGATAGATATAAAACACCAATACACATATGAAACATTAACTCAAATTAGTAGAATAATAGATTGCGCATAGGTCTATTCAAGTTTACTTGACTAGTCAATGAGAAGGATTTTGCAATTAAAATATAAAACATTAAGTCTCCCCCTCATAAAACAGGCCTATAAAAGAGCGATTTTTAGCTCATTTACCACCGGATTTTCTCTAAGAGTTTGGTCATGAAGTATCTTTGAACCAGAATATTTCGCGATTGTGCTCTCTCTCTCTGACTTAGAATCTTTTCATACTTGGTGTTTTTATCAAAATCTCTCGTAAGTAATGTAATTTAAAAAAAAATAAATTATCTTTTCATTTTTTTAGTTTTAAATATTTATAAATTATTAAGACGATTAATTTTTTTTTGTATTTTGTGAGTTGTTCCAATTAAGAATTTTTTTTAATTCTTCAATTGGAGTGTCTATTTAATAAGTGTATTTCGAAAATCTACCTTAGCACATCTAGCGGTTGAAATTATCGGTAAAACAATAGTTTGTGACGTGCACTAGGGATTGATTCTCATATTCCATTACGTTCTTTTCGGCAAGCAGTTTTTGACTGTGTAAGGTCCGTGCATCGACGAGTATAATCTCCGATGGTGTAGCCAACCTGTCTCTAACTCTGTCGACTCTCATATCAAATACACAATTTCATAAATTATTGATAGTTTGTTGAAGTCATTACCCTAGCACATCTAGCGGTTAAAACTATTCGTAAAACAATAGTTCATAACGTGTCACTAGGGATTGATTCTCATAATCTATCTGGTTATTTAAATATTCATTTTAAAATATAAAATAACACATATACTCAGACACCAAGTATAGAAAGGAACTACAGTGAAGTAATATTTCAAGTTTAATAATATGCATAATTTTACAAAATAAATAAGTAGATAAAAGTCAGTGCTCTTTTTATTTATATTATTTTTACAACAAACGATCAAGCTAGCTGGACACAAGGTAAGAAATTACATTTCTAAGCATGTCATAAAAATTAAGAATAGTATTAAGATAAATCAAGAATAACTTTTATCAAAGGAATAATAGAATTGTTAAAGGTGAATAATTTGAAAAGAGGGTATTATTAATAACTACTTTCTCACCATTCGGATCATAATAGTACGCGTTTAACGTAGATGTTTTAACTTATACACATACATAAAGAAAATAATTCAGCCATTAAGGCTTGGCGCCCAACAGCTGGACAGTTGCAATTTACGTAAACACACACACAGTTTATTATTTCTATAACACAACCACTAAATATTAAGAGTCGTAAAATGTTTCTCCTTAATCGTTGCATGTTTCATTGTGCGTCATACAGAAGTGATTTACTTATCTATATTTCACGACAAAATAGGAGTGGTCATTATATCATAACAAAGAATTTATGATTATATGCCATATGCTTTTATTTTCATTTTGTAGCTAAACGAATTTCAAAACTCCGGATAACATAATATTTATACTCATATTCAATTTAATTATCCTCTCATTGCTTTTCATATTAAAAAAAATTATTTCTTGCATTTCACCATCCCAATATACAAAACATTAACCTACTTAACTCTTTTTTTATATGACAAAAATATAAATATAACATATATTCAATTATAGCCAATTAGTTTAACTCTAAATACAATTTCACCTTAACCTTTTTTTTTATGACAAAAATGACGCCCAATAACTGCTTGTAACCCTGACCGTAATATTTTGATCATATAATTAACATTATAAAAAAAAATTCAAAAAAAAAAATCCACAAACACTCTATCATCTATCATAAATACAAAGTAAAATTATTTAATTTTGTAGTTAAATACTTTTATCATATCAAATCTAATTCAACAATAAATACTTTAAATATATTAGGAATGAATTATTTTAATTGTTTGTATGGATAAAGCTACTCTTTATTTAATTCAGGGATTTGTTTTCAATTTTTGAGAGTATAACTTCAACTATACGAATTGTAATCATTTGACGTAAATAAATTGCAGCCACAAAAAATATAGTAACATAATGTTTACATGAATAAGAAATTTCTTCTAATGAGGGTAGACTACAGTGATGGAATCCTTGATATTTATTGGTTAAATGAGATAAAAATCAAATAATTTGAATTTTTTTTTTAAATCAAAAAAGAATTAAGAAAAAAATGTAAATAATTAATTGCTACAGGCAAATTCGAACCTTGTACCCTAAGCATATAAATAAATTTATATTTTATACCAATCAAATTGTATAATATTCATGAAAGTCAGTATAAGATATTTTAAAATACAAAACCCAGAATTTGAACACAAAAATACCATATTTTTGAATACGGTTGTCTTTTTCACCAAGAAGAAAATATACATTTCGAATTTTATTTTTTTCACAGTAAAGTATATTACATAATTTTTAATTTAAGATTAAATAATAGTGTCAATATTTCCGGAACATTTTCAAAAATTAAATTGAAAAAGCTTAACTTGTATGCAAAAAACTTGTATGCTTTTTTGAATCTCCTCTGTGGGCAGGTTTAGAATCAGATTTTCAATAAAATTATATCAAACGAAAGAAAATATCTCAAGTTTTAAATAAATTATTTTGATTTATTCATTTTACAAAAATTGTGGCAGTTTTAAGTACAAAAAACCTCACGATAGAAGGTGATTTTTTTCGCAAATATTACATTTTTTGTTGAATTTCGGCGGCTATTTGCACATAGAAGAAAAGGTATCGGGACAATTTTTTTTTCAATTTAGAGTGCGTAATATAAGCTTTATTTTGACATATATTTAAAGAACGCAGTATTTTTGGAACATTTTCAAAAGTTAAGTTGACAAAGTTCTACTTTTTATACGTATGTTTCAAGTTATAAACCCTCCAGTCTAAAGGAAAATGGTTCAATTTAAAACAAAATTATGTCAAATAAAAGATGTAAACATAAAGTGTTTATAAAAAGAATTGTGTTGATATATACATTTTACGTAAAGTTATAGCAATTTAAACTAGAAAATATAAAATCGATAATCAAAAATTTTAACACAAAAATAGCATGTTTTTAACTATGGTAGCTTTTTGCACATAGAAGATAAGTCGTCGGGACAAATTTTTATTTTTCATTTTATAGTACATGACATAAGCTTTAACTTGATGTATGTTTAAAGGACGCAGTATTTCCGAAACATTGTCAAAAGTTAAGTTGAAAAAGTTAGTTTTTGTAAAAAATTTGCTATTTTAAATCTCCCCTGTGAGCAGGTTAAGTGTTAGATTTTCAAAAAAATAGTATCAAATAAAAGAAAAATATCTAAGGTTTTAATATAAAAAAAAATTATGTTGTTTTGTTAATTTTTGAAATAGTTATGGTAGCTTTAAGAAAAAAAAGTGAAAAAAGTAACAAAATTTAACGATTTTAAAAATAGTAATTTTTTTTGGAGATTTCCCCATTTACAGGAAGCGAGGAAAATGTTTTCAATTACTAAGCTTAATGTCTACAATTAGATATGACTTATGATCTTTTGACATATTGTTTATCTAAATCGGTCCAGTGAGTTCTGAGAAAAAGTGGCAACAGACACAAAAAAAAAAGAAAAAATATCATGGTAAAATTAATACTTTCTCAGCTTCGCATCGTTACTAATAAATCCTTCCCAAACTTAAAAATTCATTATGAGCTTTTCTTAATAGGTAGCTAGTTTTAGAGCTGTCGTAACACAATAAAAGGGAGGGCGGTGAATGTAATGCGCACGAAGATGAAGATGAGGATGTGGTGCCTGCTGTCTAGGTATTCACGTGTGTGTTGTCGGCAGCAGTCACCGTGCTCGGCTGACACTTCGGGTTAGCTGTGGGTGTCGAATGGCTGTTGTTATAGGAAGGGAATAAGGGTAACACCTAGGTATGAGGTGCAGACGAAGTGCAAGACACAAATACCAGGTGTACGCAAAAGGAGCCCAAAGTATGAGGTGCAGACGTTTGGGTTTTTATAATAATTTGAACTATTGCCAATTTGGTAATAAATATTATTTGTTAATTCATCAATCTCAGGAAGCGTATGTGCTGTCTGTATTTTATTAAAATAATTCTTACAATAATGGTAACGCGACACCATCACAGAGCTCAATGTCTAATGAACATCGTGCCGGTGGACAAAGCTAAAGGTCACAAATTTTTCAGATAAAACAGAAATTTAAATCAATTTAATAATAATTTTATTGATCTAAGTATATTGTAATACTGTACTTATTAGATAACTGGTGTCTGAGCATAATATCTTTGTTCTAACAAACATCGCCATGGTGGACAGCGCAAAGAAACTTTCGAATATATTTTTAGTGTTTAATGTTTATCTTGGTGATTATTGTGCCGCATCTTTTGAACGTGTCAGAGCCGGGACACGTTGGACCACCACAATACCACATTGATAAAATTTTTTATAGATTACAATACCTTTGATTATTGTTTAAGTCAGACCAGAGGAAGCTTTAAAAATATTAGTGTCTATTTCTCAATAAAATATACTCTCTCAAAATGATACTTATTCAATAAAAATTAGGGTACATTATAAAAGTTCTATTTATGATAAAAATAAAGAGTGTTTAGAATCTTTTACACATAAAGATCAGTCTTAGATTTTGTGTAATGAAGTCGTTTTATTTAAAATTAAATCGTTTAGAAAAACAGTCATATTGACTAAACAACACGTAGTGTACAACGTGTGATATTCAGAATCAACGTTGGATTGTTTAAAATATTGTTACGTTACATAGAACATAAGGTAAGTACAAGTTTTATTCATGTTATTAAACTACAAACAATTTATTGCGTAATAAACTATTATAATAAATTATAAAATTTTTTAAGGGTTATTTAACAGAATTTATTCAATATTATTGAACCCCGAGGTCAATTTACTATTTTGTCATAAACGTTTTTGTTTATTTTATTTATTTGACCATTACCCTTATATGCTCAGCCACCGTTTACTCACTTTTCTAAAACCCCTTTTTATTTATGTTATTTTATATTATTACACTGCCTTATTTTATAACACATACGCCTCAACCTCTTCTTTTTATTTTTTGGTTTATTACAGTAGACTATGATTATCATAAAAATACATCCTATGATATGGTTTCTAATTTTTCAATTATTTGTATTTCTTTTCTATATTTAAATAGGACTGTATGGAGATATTTTTATTATATAGTAACAATATTTAAGTTTTAGTACGTAGTCAAAGTTGGTGTATAAGTAATTTTTTGATAAAAAATCTGTAAAAAAAAACTTTGTTAATTAAATTTAACTTAATTCGAAGTTAATTTTATGGGATGTAAACTAATGATGAACGATGGTAGTAGTTGGATACTTAATGATTAATCATTAACTAGCAAAAAGATGTAAGTGGAGCCAACAAACAGAATGAAGAATTATAAGATTTATCTTATGATGGTAGTATATAATTAAAGAGACCTGCTTAAACAAAAGCGAAAATTATGAAACTCCATAAAGCTAAACATATTAAATTTCGGTGATAAACCGATTTTTATCATAAAATTCGGTATAGAATGCGCAAAATGGGCTAAATATAAAGTCCGAGTGATTGGGCAGTAATTATATTTGCCCTTTTAATAACTAAACTTAAAAAGACTAACGTTATGTAACTAGTTAATTACATGGGTATAAAAGAAACTAAAATTTATTTATGGATTCTACATGGATAGGTATTTTTTATATACAGAATGATAAATTAAGGATAAAATTCTCATTTACTCAAGAATTATTGAATACTTTCTATTTTTGTATAGAACATAAATTTTCGATTAAAAAAACTCTACAATAATATGTAGTTAAATATTCAAATAAAAATCATTACAAAAACAAAATTAAAAAAAAATTTTTTTTTTATCATTAAACTAAAAATAGTGGTTTCCAATAAATAAAAATAAAGTTCAGGTTTTTTTTAACCCTGAGGGGATTAAAAAAAAATTATTTAACTGCATTTTATTGTAAAGTTATTTGAATCAAACAATTTTCTCTTTTACGAAAACTTAAATTTTTTAATAGTTTTCAAGAAAATGAGTGTCTTATCCTAAATTATCATTCTTTATATTAAAATATGAAAATTATCAGTGATAATTTAATTGATAATTATTACACAAGTTACAAAATGTAAAATACAATTGTTATACGTACACTTTTTTTAAATTTTTTAAAAAATTCTTTCAGTCAACAATAAATTAAATAATTATTTTAGTATTATTTTTAAATAATAGCAATTCGAACTAAATTTTTCACGTTAGGAAATTATTCATGTAAATTTTTATCATAAATCAACAATACATAATCTAATTCATTCATCTAAGTTATTCTTATTATAGTTGTACATTTATAGTGAAGTATTTTATTTGACAGAGATATCAGAAGAGCTCCTATTGACATGTCTCACAGGTTTTGTAGTTCCATGGCATTTTAACACAAATTTTAGCTCTATCATGAAGGCTTCAAAATAAGTAAGCTGTAACAAATGCTTAATTTTAGCTTAAAATTTACTAGTACCTTTAAAATCAACTTTTTTGTATGGTTAACATTTATTTTTATTAAAATCTAGTTATATGTGATTATTTGATAGTAAATTGTAATATTATAAAAAAAAATTAATACCTTTTCTTCAACTGCTACTTTCCTTATATTCCATAAAAACTCAAATATTGAAAATATAAAAGCTATCATACATCCAAGTATTAAAATTACAAACATTCCACCGAGTTCAGTAACATCAAGTTCTGAGTTGTCTGTTTTTGGAGGCTAAAATTTATTTTCAAAAAATTTTTATAAAATTTAATTGAAAAAATTGATAAAAAAATTACTTACTTTGCACTTTTTATCTTTAGATACAGACCACCATTTTTCTTTTAGCGCCAATAAAGAACCTGTCTCGGACAGCTTTAATACTGCCATGTTTACAGCTGTTCTATGTGGAGCATCTATAATAATTCAAAATAACAATTAATTATTGTAAACTAGTAATGTTAACAAATCTTACTTAACTGAATGGCATAGCAATTCCATATCCTTTATTATCCAACCAATATCCAACTTCGGCTAAATCACAGTTTCTTTGTACTTCATATTCAATAGAACTAGATTCCATAAAAAATGCATAATGATTTCTTTCTTTTTTTACTCTGTCTACACCTTGTTTGTTATCTGAGACCATCACTGAATCACCATACATTTCCATACCACTCCATAATTTTTGATAAAGGTTTACGTTTGAATTCTAAGAATGAAAAAAATCTTTTTGGCAAAGAATATATTTTTAATGAATGTGAAAAAAATTATTACCTGAAAAAAGCCAGCCGTTGATTGACCTTTTAAACAACCATATTTAATACCATCAGTACCAGCTTTTTTATCTAGGTCCTCTACATTCTTGATGGTCGTTTCCATTCTATTAGACGTCAAAAAAGCAGTTAAATTTGCAATGTAAGACTGAGTCATAATGAGTGCAAAAAACCACCACATAGCTGCAGCTAATCTGGTAGGAAATGCCCTTCAATATAAAAAATAAAATAGTTATGATTAAATCAATCATAGTTTACTACTGTTTTAAATAAGAGCTTTCTTTAGCTTACTTACCTCGGTAATATATCACTCCCTTGGCAAAGTATGGAGCCTAACGAAAACCATAGACAATTTAATAAGGATAACGAGTTTTCTAATTCTTCTAGATTTGGATCGCATGGATGAGGATTTTGCCATTCATTAGGTGTTATTCTATTAATAATTAATACTTTAGTAAATTTAATTTATTTTTATATAAGATTTAGTAAAGATTTTAGTTCATAAACCTCGCAAAAAAAAATAACACCAAAGAAAGACTTAAATAAGCCGTAGCAGTAAATATCCATACTTGAAAAGATAAAGGTTGAGTGAACGAAAATAAGTTATTCTCTGGTTCTTCAGGTTTACTAAATAATATACTGATACCTATAAGATATTTTTATAAAATAATATTCACATAAATTTAGTTTTGATTTATGATCATTCAGAAAAACGAATTGCTTACCTAAGTTCATAAAAGGCATGGTAAAATCTACAGCAGACCTTCTATCGTGAGTAATTGTTAAATCACAAACACCCATATCTGCTCTCTACAATGTAATAAAACAAATGTAGATTTTTTATCATTTCTGAAGAAAAAATGAATAATTTTTTTTTTGATTTATAAAAAATGTATTTAAAAGTTATTGCTTGTGCCACAGAGAGAAACTTACGCAACAATATAAACGATTTAAGTGCACAATATATTTTATAATGAATTTCAGAGGATATTCATTCATATAAGCAGCTATGCTATTGTCAATAAATTATAAATGCATTCAATTTATAAAATTTACACTTACTAATTCTTGTACTTCCCCGATGATACCATCGAATTTACCAGTCTTTGGGTCTCGTTTTCCATTACCATGATTTTTAACTTGAAATTCATAAGTAATATTTATTTCTTCAGCAATTTGTTGTATTAAATCAACGACATATCCTTCATACTTATCATTTCCTATCAGTTTAGCGTGCCCTTCTTTTAACATAAAATATGGCTCAGTCTGAAATAATAATTCAGTGAAATAATTTAATTTGCTACTTAAACAATACTTTAATACAAACTGACAATTTTAGTCGCGACGATAAATGTTTTGTTTTTATTAGCTGCCACTAAATCATCAAGCATTTCACTGCTAGTTCTTGTATAAGTTATCCCATGCATTGGATCCCATAAACCAATCTTCTTAAAGCCATTGTCAGAAAGTTCAACAATTTCCAATGTAAAATATGACCTATGACCTGTAGTTATGTTAAATCGAAGTGAACCGGACAACCCTTTTGTTTCGATCTAAAGAAACATGGAATTTACTTTAACCTAACACATGTAACAAATAAAATAAACAATCTGATAAAATAATATAAATTGACTTAAATGGTTGGAATTATTTTTTGAGCGTTAATAATAATTTATATTGACTTAAACATGTTTAAGAAATGACATGTAAAAAAAAATTGTATATAATTTATACTATAATTACAACAAAATTTAATTCATTGATGTTGCGTTTTTGATCAAACTTTAAATTTTCTCTCCTTAAAAGTTTCTAAAACATGACTTAACATCTAATACCCAGGCACCTGCTAATTTTCCTTTATATTGGAAAATTCACCCATGTACAAAATATCTAAATATTGTATTTTATAATTCATTATTTCGTTAAAATTATTGTATAAATCCATTGAACCATTTATTGTTTATGATGATGAATTAAATGTTAATAAATTTTTTTTTTATAATAAATATACTCAGAAAAAAGACTTACTTTGGCTATTAAGTTGTTTTATAATTTATTACTGTATTCTTGTTACATTTTTTGTTATCTTTGCTGTTAAGATTTTCATATTCAAATAAACAAATAAAATCGACGATTCAAAAGTTATGTGTAAGGAGCTTTCTAGACACTGCGCAATATGTATTAACTAAACGACTAATACTTACCACTTTTATAAAATTTATAAGTTCAAACCCATCGGGCCAGCTTTGAAATGGAGCTTTTTTGCATTGAACCGAGTGGGTTAAAATTCTGTTTGTACCGCCTAAACTATGTAAAGTCTTGGCAAATGTATTAACTGAGTCATACATAAGTATTGCGTTGGCAGTTATTGTGTCTGATTGGAAAGGTGGAATGTTTACTTGAAGCCGTTCTTGAACAAAGTTCAAATCCTTTATGATGTCTTCAACTTCAACATTTTTTGGATCAATTAATCGTATAGTTGTAATATTGGTACGGGATATTCTACCTAAACTGCTTAAATCAACTGTGTGTGCATCCTAAGACATAAATTATTGATGAAATAGTATACCTATAATTTATACTGTACGTTCTTACTAAAGAAGTTAGCATAAAACTATGATAATCGTCAAGTAAATTTACTTCTTTTGCTTGATTTAGGATAGGCAGTATTAAATCTGAATCGCAATCTATTATAATGTGACCTTCTAATGATTTCTTAATATCCTTTAAAATTGGCCTTAAAATATGTAACATTATTTATTAAAAACCGTTATTTTAATTACTATTAAAATGATTAATATAAATACAAATAATAGTCATTTAGGGTTGCACTAACTTATAATTTTTGTCTTCAGGTAATTGAATTATACTAATAGCAGCTACGTTAAAGTTGTTTGGTTTGTTTTTAGTGGAATAAAATTGGATTAAGTGTTGTAGCTTAACCAAATCTTGAGGTCGTTGATAAAGTAATGTAAATGATAACCAATCCATATCTTTTATTATTGTGGTATAGCCCTAAAAAATGATTAATACCACAATAAAATATTATTCATACGAAAAAAATAAAAATTTAATATTAACCTCAGCTAAACTAGATGGTTCTGGATATGTGCTAAAATAATAATCAAACTGCCCGACAGCTGCATTTTCCCAATTTGTCTCTATTTTTGGTATATTCATATGTTCACACATTGACTGTATGATATTTGACGATTCAGAATATGAAGGTCCAAATACCGCTCTAGCTCCAGACTCCAAAGTTTCACAAACTAAAAAAATTAATAAACATCCATATTATAAAAATAAAAAATTGAGTCTTTTAATGAAATTGTATTTTGTATTTATACAATATATTCGGCAATTATCATTATCATTTCTAAGAATAAATTTGTTAAATACTCTGTTATTAAATCATTTTTCGGTAAATTATTGTGCAAAAATTAAAACAAATCGTATAAAAACTAAAAGGTTTTATCCTATACATAATGATATAGAACCACATAGTTTTCATAGGTATTACAAAATTTAAAAAAAAGTGTATTCTTTTATCTTTTTGACAAGGAATTAATACTTGAGATAGATTATAGCGGTTATATATTTTTTGTTTTATGATATTTTTCAAGGTACAAGAAGTTAAAAATAAAAATAGAGTCAAATAATAGGCAGATTAAAAGTAGACAAAACTTAAACCTATAAAAAAAAATTCTAATTTGTTGTTAAATCATTGGTCACATTTTCTATACCTACCTTTTATACTCGTTTTATATGAGTCTGTAAAATCCACTATTTCACTTTGGGCTTTTAAGAATACATTAGAAAGCTCTGGGTCAATATTTACTTTATGTACCGCTAGCTCAAAAGCTTGCTGTTCGATACTGTTTTCTCGGTCGAAAAAGCCGACTGTAAATATCAAAAATATTGTTATAAATAAAATTTCGTTAAACTAATACTTAAGTAATTTTACCAATTGTAAGTGGTTTAGAGATGTTATCAGTATAACCATTAATTTGATTGTGAGAAGTAAAAAAATAAACTACAAATAACAATATTTGAGTGAACCAAAGGTCCATTTTAGTAACGTCGTCTCTAAAACTACGAAATAACTGTTCTGAGAAGATGATTATAAGAATTGCTTCCAGTTATATTTAGAGCTAGATCTGGCCCTAAGCCAATTACTACAGATTTAGTAAGTATTTTATTATTGTAATAATTATTTTTTTTCTACTCAAAATTAGTAAACCCATTTAATATGTTCAATTAATATAAGAAAAATATTCATAGAATCAATTAAATTTTGATAAAAATTTATAGTCCTCAAACACAAAATTTTGTTATACAGTGTGATTTATTAAAAATTCTAGTCCTTATTTTTTCTTTAAATAATATTTTTTTTATAAAAATGTATAGATTTAAATTTGATTTATTTTTATAAACCATAGTAAATATCAAGTTAATTGTAAAAAAAAATTGTTTAAGGGTAGTTTTTAGGAGTAACGTTCAAAATTCAAATGGAATATAATATTATTATTATTTTATAATTAAATGGATAATGGTCTAAATAAATTTAGACTGATTAATAACTCATTTTGTATTATTATTTTTTGAGTTGTTATAGTTTTTGGTATAGACGATTGTGGTATGCAACGTAAAAGAATTCTTATCAGTGTATTTTGGTAAAAATAAAGTGTCATTAAATACTAATTCTCTCCTTATTTTTTTAAAATCTTTAATTGTTTATATCTCAAACATCAATGTTACAAAACTAAAAAGTTATAAAAATTTTTTGTAGCTTTTTGAGTTAAGTATTTTTAATATTTTTTGTTTTAAATTAATATTTGTAATATAGTGTTAATTTTAAATTATGAAACTAGTTAACAACTCATTTTATTAGTATTCTTAATAGATCACACTCTATATAATAAATTTCAACATTAATGTGATATTTAATTTCGTTTCTCAATTGTTAAATTCGAGAAATTGGATGATAAGTAAAGTCAACACATGTCTTAATCGTAAACAAAATTACATAATAATATATTTTTCCTGATATGTATTTTTTAGACTTAATAATATGTACAACTGAAATAATAACACTTGAGCTTTAAACTATGCTTTTTATTATGGTGTAAACATAAATAATTAGAGTCTGGATTATATGCATTTAAAATTTTGTTGTATTATTCCAAGCACATCATTAGTCAGTACAAATTTTTATTAGTAGGTTTGATTACTGTAATGTATAACAAGTAATATATTTTAACTTGAGTTAGTGTTGGGGTTTTCTCTTTTAAAAAGACAAATATTTTTAAGCTACTGTATATTCAAAGAACAAATTTACTCGAACTTGGGTTCATTTAAACTGGCCCAAACAAAATATATTAATACAAATCCGGACATTTAATGATAACAATTTCAATACCATGATCGATGAAATACAAATTTTATGTAAAAACATTAAAACACTTTTTAACTTCGATGCGAATTTTACTATGATGTGTTTTTTTTTTTTTTTTTTATGTCTGTTCCCACTTTTTCTCAGCTCTCACCGAACCGATTTCTTTCAATGATACGTCAANTTTTTTTGTGTCTGTTACCACTTTTTCTCAGCTCTCACCGAACCGATTTCTTTCAATGATACGTCAAAAGATCACAAATTGTATCTAGTCGAAGACAATATCCTCAAAAATTGAAAAAAATTCTCTCGTTCCCCGTAAATGGGGAAACCTCCAAAAAAATTACAAATTTAATAATCGCTAATTTTTGAAATGTTTACAATTTTTTTTACTTAAAACTGCCATAACTATTTCAAATATGAACAAATCAATATAATTTTTTTGTTATAAATGCTTGATGTCTTTACCTATCATTTGGTATATTTTTTTTGTAAATTTGACCTTTTTTCTGTCCACAGGGGGGGATTTAAAATGACAACTTTTTCACAAAAAATTAACTTTTTCAACATAACTTTTGAAAATGTTCCGGAAGGTCTGACACTTTTATATATATCTTAAATTAAAGCTAATCTAATATACTTTAATTAAAAAAAAAAAATTTCGGATTTTATTTTGTCTTCACTGTGAAGATGGCTATCATATGCTATTTTTGTGTTAAAATTCTCGATTTTATATTTTACATTTTTGACTTTAAAATGTTATAACTTTTTGAAAAATGTATGGATCAATACAATTTTTTTATGAAAAATAATATTTATATACTTCTTTATTTTCAACATACTTTTTTTTTAAATCGGACCATTTCCCTTAATACAGGGGGGGGTCCAAAACATAAAAATGCATATAGAAAGTAGAACTTTTTTAACTTAATTTTTGAAAGTATTCCGGAAATACTAACACTTTTATATATATCTTAAATTAAAGCTTATATAATATACTATAATATTAAAAAAAAAAATTTCGGACTTTATTTTGTTTTCACGGTAAAAATGGCTACCGTATGCTATTTTCGTGTGAAAATTCTTNAAAACATTAAAACACTTTTTAACTTCGATGCGAATTTTACTATGATGTGTTTTTTTTTTTTTTTTTTATGTCTGTTCCCACTTTTTCTCAGCTCTCACCGAACCGATTTCTTTCAATGATACGTCAAAAGATCACAAATTGTATCTAGTCGAAGACAATATCCTCAAAAATTGAAAAAAATTCTCTCGTTCCCCGTAAATGGGGAAACCTCCAAAAAAATTACAAATTTAATAATCGCTAATTTTTGAAATGTTTACAATTTTTTTTACTTAAACACTATATAAATCAAATAACTAATCGGCATAAAATTAAGGGAACATGGATTATTGAATTAATCTATCAATTTCTTAAAATTAAACACTATCTAAAGATTTGCATCGAAGCGTTATTTTTGATAGTGATTTTAATCACTGCCAGATATCATTATACTTGATCCAACTATGCCACGTCACCACTGTGCCTCGAACCCCCTGTGCTGGGTTTTTTTTTCAAATTCTGATTAAATTTAAAAAAATATATTTTTTTAAAAGTTTCTTCCTATTAAAATATACGCATACAAAATTAAACTTTTAATAACTCACATATCATTTTAATTATTTCAAATTATTATAAAAATTATAAATAAATACATTTTTCTAGTAGTTTTCGTGAATAAAATAAGTAAATTATTACAATAATTAACCATCTATAATAATTCAAGCAATAATTAATTATAATAAACGTATTAAATATAATTGAATATAATTAAATATAATTTTAAAAGTTTCAATAGCAATCAGAGAAATCTGATTGATTATTGATTCCTCTTTGAATTTTTCCAGAAAGAATCCTATAAAAAATAGTGTCCTGGTGAAGTCCATCATCAGCAGTGTTGTATTGAGTCTTATTAGGGTTATATTTTAAGCTGTATACCATTTTCTTACCATCGCTAAATTCTTTGGTTATAATTTGTGGTATTGGTTTTGGTTTACCCATTATTATTTTTTTAAAGTAGGTACCAAGTCCACATTCAATCATCTTAAATAAAGTAAAATAAACAAGCAAAGTAGCTATTGTTAAAACTATTTTTATGAAATGCATGTCTAAATATATTTTCAACTTTTTAAAGATAAAGCACAACAATTACTGAATATAACGTTAAGCATTTAGATAACTACCCAAACATCATCAATAAATATTATTGTTTTTCTGATATTTAGTCTACTCAATGTTACAATGTAAATAAATAAATTCAAAACATTTTCAGAATACAATTATTATAATATTTTGTTTTGTAGTGTATTTCACAATGATTATTCCTTATTTTTAATTTTCTTTGTTTTTAGTAAAATTAAAAATAATTTTGTCAGCTGAAAAATGAATTTTTTTATTAAAATGTTTGTCAAATTTTTTCAATCTATATTTCTATGTAGTTAACTATGACATTTGTAATTGACAATGAGGATAGTTTTTTAATTGTAGATGATAAAAGTTCCTTTTGAATTGCTTTGAGGTAAGAATATAATAAGGTTTATAAGCAATTAAAATTTTTAATTTTATAGTTTTTCTTACCATTTTTGTATTATTTTACAATAAAAAACAAATGGTCCAATGAAAAACTAGTGCTGATATTACAATATCAGTATATATTGTACAATAACCTTAGAAATGACTCAATTTTTTCAACTTCTATTAGATAAATTAAAAACAATACAATAATAGGAGTGTTTTTAATTATTTGAATTGCCCTTTTATTATTTAATGTCAAATGCAACATGGATTTTAAAGCAAATCGCATAAAAAAATATTTTACTAGAAATAATTTATTTCACATATTTTACATATTATATGTGCGTAAATGCGTGTTATTCGCAGGAACATAGCGTTAGGGTTTTTATATCTTCCATTCAGAAACTGTTTTATTTGCAATTAATCCTTATTACAAATAATTGATTAAGGACTTATAAATTAAAAACCCTTTCTAATAAATAATTTTTATCTACGACTCTGATATGTAATATAATATTTGTGGATTATTAGTACCATGTAATGGGTCAATTTGGGGCGGTGATTAAATTTGGGACAGTTAAATATCTATTATTATTTAAGCCATATAATTCTACAGCGTTTGTAAAATGTTTACTATTATTGTTAAGAAACACCAAATAATTCAATAAATTAAATTATCTCCAAGTTGGTCCATTTTATGGTACGCGAAAAATAGATTTATATTTTAATAACATAATTAAATAATAGTATCTTAACTATAAACATATATAAGTTAGAGATGTAACTTGACATTAAAGGGCCCAAAAGTAAATGTCTCACGTGGCTGAAATACTCTAAATAGCCAGCTTTTTTTATATTTTGATACTAATTTAGATTCCTTATAATACAAATTTCTAAATGTTGACATTATTATAACAGAAAAAATTCTCGAGAAGCCCAAAAACCTCGCGAGTTCTAATGTTTCACTTTGCTAACTTTATCGCTAGTAGTGTACTACTTTTGTAAATATAGAATGATCAATTTTAGGTAAGATATTAATTTTTTGAGAAATAAAAATTTTTATAAAAAATTTATAATAAATTTTTAATAAAAAAACTAGGTTAAGCTAGGTTTTAGGTATTATGTTATCTTAATTTTATGTTTTTAGTAATTACATTATATACCATATATTGTATATTTTTATTTCTGCAAAAAGAACATTTATTTGGTTTCAAAAATTCTATTATTGTAGAATTTTTTGTGGTTAAACAATTTTTTTTTACCCTTTCAGGGTTAAAAGATATTAAGTTTAATTTTCTTAATGGAATCACTAGCGTGGGCGGATTGTGTATACAGGGTGATTTTTTTATCATAATCCACTCAATTACTTACAAAAAATAATAATTTAAACATTTTTTTTTTTCATTATCTTTAGTTACACATTATTCTTGAATTTTTAACTATGTAATACTTTTTAAGTTCATCCCTTATGCCTTGGAAGGGGGTCAACTTTGTTTTTTTAAATGGTAACACATATTTTTAATTTAATAAAATGTTTGAGTTTTTAATTTAATAGTAAATGGCATTTGAATTTTTAATATAACTTTATTAGCTTATTAGATATAAACATTTAAAGTTTCAAAATTTTGAGTTAATATACATGTATAATACACATGGGATTGTAAATACAGGTAGCTAATTGGATTTTTATGACATTGCTGTCTCAGTCACGGATTGTTTATTATCAATTATGATTATCAATAGATATACTTTCTGTATTGTCAGTTAGTGTATTTATAAACTCATAACAATGTGCCTTACTACAATTGATAATAACAATGCTGTGTACCTGCTAATATCGATGTTATAAAAAACCAATTAGCTACCTGTATTTGTAATCCCTTGTGTATTATACCTGTATATTAATTCAAAAATTTGAAACTTTAAATGATTATATCTAATAAACGAATTAAGTTATATTAAAAATTCAAATGCCATTTACTATTAAATTAAAAACTCAAACATTTTATTAAATTAAAAATATGTGTTACCATTTAAAAAAACAAAGTTGACCCCCTTCCAAGGCATAAGGGATGAACTTAAAAAGTATTACATAGTTAAAAATTCAAGAATAATGTGTAACTAAAGATAATGAAAAAAGAAAATGTTTAAATTATTATTATTCTGCAAGTAATTGAGTGGGTTATGATAAAAAAATCACCCTGTATATAAGCTGTGTCGCGCTACATACCCACTCTATGTATTAATAGTTGTAACGGATAACCATAGAATAAAGAAATTGTAAAAACAAAATCATTTGAAGTTTTCTATTTTATTGTGTTATCAAGTTAAAAATAAGGGTTCCCATAAAAAAATTTAATTTAAGTAATTTAATCCCGAAGAAATTAAAAAAATTGTTTAATCACATATTATCATAAAGATTTTTGAATCAAAAATGTAATTTTTTTAATAATTTCTGAAAAAATGAGTGTCCCGCCTAAAATTTATAATTTTGCATATAAAATAATAAAATACGTAAGCAATCCTGTTTACGATAAAATCTGATGTGATCTTAATGTTAATTATAATTTAAAGTATAAAATTATTTTTGTGAATACTTGTTAGAAAAATAGTTTTACCATTTTTTTTGTAAACCTATCATTTATAAAATATATGATTATTTACATTTTATTATTTATTAGAAAATGTTTCTTTTGTTAAAAAATAAATAATACCATACGTCTTACGTTAATAATGTGTATAAAAATTTAATAAAAAATAATGAGTAGTTATTAGATTAATTTTATCAATGACTTTATTTTTATTTTATACATAAAAAATTCCATTTAAACGTTTTATAAAACAAGAAGTACTTATGCTTTAACTGAACTAATATTATATTTAATATTAAATGAATTTTTAAAACAAAATTATAATAGAATATAGACTTCATAATAATTTTATAATTTTAATTAAAAGTACAATATCGCAAAAGCTGTGACTAATTGTTATTTCGATTTAATAAAGTCATTTTGATTTGTTCCATAATACTTTGCGTGTCTGAAAATAACATTTCAGTTATTTAGTAATAAAATATTTAAAGAAATAGTATGTTTAACGTAACAATAACATAATAGTATCCTAATATAATTATTTGCTATTAAAAATTTGATGCTGGTTATTGTTGCTATAAATAACTTAAATTTATCTTAAAATTGTTTCTACAAATAATACTAATACACTAAAGTAGATATTAAAGTAATTTATTATGCTTACTTAAAATTCCTTGAGACTGATCGTGAATTCCTGACTCCATTGTTTCTTCTGAAGATGAGTAAATATTGACAGTATTTTGATTAATTATTTCTTCATTATCTTCTAATTTTTCTATGTCTTTTTTTTCAATATTTTCTTTATCCTTTTTTTCTTTTAAAATTTCGTTTACTGATATAAATTTTTTTTTCGCGTCTTTATTTTTCTTCTCTTTATCCGCATTATTATCTGTCTTGTCTATTTTTTTTTCCTTTATATTTTTTTCTTTCTCCTTTTCTATTGAATTTTTTTGGTCATTGTATTCATTTGACTCATTACTTTTAATTTTTTTTCTAGATTCTGTATCTTGCTCTTTTTTATCATTATCCTTTTTTATTTCTTTCCTGTCTTTCTTGTTTTTAATTTTAATTTTTTCTATTGAATCTTTATCTTTTTTTACTTCATTTTCTTTTGATTTAATATGTATTTTTTCTTTCTCGTCTTTATCATTCTTTTTTGTTTTTATGTTTATCTCATCCTTATCTGCTTCAGACTTTTTTTCTTCTATTTTTTCTATTGATTTTAATGTTTTATACTTTTTTTCCTTATTTTTTTTTTCTATGCTGTTTTTAAATTTAACTTCATTTATTTTAATTTTTGGGTTACTTTTAATTTTTTTCTTTTCTATCGAAAACCTGTTAGGGATAACATAAAATACTCATTAATATTTGGTAATAACTTAAAAAATTAAAAAATGTATGCAAAATTCTTCAAAATACTATAAATTTATTTTTACCTTGTTGTTTCCTCTGAAATAGATGAGTCTGATGAACTAGACGAGTTCGATGATCTTAATGAGCTAGGAAAACTAGATAAATGGCTACTATTTTCAAATTTAACTGTTCCAAATATTTGCATTGGTTGAATATTTGGCATTACTTCGTTATTTTCAATTTTTTCCGATAAAATTTGAAAAAAATTAGAGTTAATGTGAACATTATCATTAGCTAATGGTAATTCTACTGATTTAAAGCCTATTGGTTTTAAAATTTCTTTTTTTTCGTTTATAATTGCTTGGATGGGTAAATTTTTCATGTTTAAATTATGCTGAAGAGAATGACTATTGGTAAGCTGTTGTGATTTTGTCAATGGATTTGACACGGAATTTGGTTCTGATATAAGTGTTGATTGATAATACATATCTTTCGAAGGAATAGTATCTGGTCGATTAATCTTTTTAGACTTTCCCCAATTCTTCGGGTTTAAAAGTCCAGGAATACTAAAACAAAAAATTTTTTGTATGAACGTGCAATAAAATATAAGAAAAATGGTTGTTGTTATAATTTTATAACTATTCATTTCGGAAAATAATTAAGAACTGTCAATAAAAATCTATGTATAAAAAATTGAAACTTAATTATATATATACATGAATAATATATTTATGTATTTACATCTATTCATCCTAAAATGAATAAATTGAAAATTTTGATAGTATTCGGCCTTTTATAAAAAGACAACTGTGTCATTAAAATAGTTATGATTAATATAAAAAAATAATATTTTATGGCAGTAGAGTTATAAAATTCAAAAAGTAAATAACTTTAAACGATGTTATATATAAAACAAATAATATTCTTTAAAAAGGACTAACTTAAATCATTATTCAAAACAAATAATTTTTTAATAAAAAAACTAGGTTAAGCTAGGTTTTAGGTATTATGTTATCTTAATTTTATGTTTTTAGTAATTACATTATATACCATATATTGTATATTTAATTATATATATATATATAATTAGTTGTTCTATATTTAAATGTATATTCTAATGGTAACTGGTTGTGCTGGAAGCATCGACGTATTTATATGTGTACAATGTTCAGGGTAGAAATCATAAAATAGTATATTTTAGAAAAAAATTAAAGGTTACAAATATCATAAAAAAATAATGAATTTGTCACATCGGAAAATTTGGAACTTTCGTGGTGCGTTAAAAAATACAAAAAGAAAGAGTCGGACCATCGTAGGATTTAAAAAAGAATATTGTATAATGAAAGCAATTTAAGCTAAAATTAAAATAAAAAACCCAGCACAGTGAGGTGGTGGCACAGTGGGGTAGTGGCATAGTTGGGTCGAGTATAGATGATATCTGACAGTGATTAAAATCACTATAATAAAAACGCTTCGATGCAAATCTGTAGATACTTTTTAATTAAACAAAAAAATTTGTCAAAAAAGTAGGTCAAGTGAGAGCTGAGAAAATAAATGATAGCTACAAAAAAAAAACCACATAATAAAATAATATTAATATGAATTTCTTCTCACGAAAGGAGACTAAAGTAATGGGATCCTTGATATTTATTAAAGTTATTGAATCTAAACGAGATAAAAATTAAATGAGTTAAACATTTTTTTCTAACTCAAAAAGAATTAAGAAAAAATTCAGTGCCACAGGCGTGAAAGACCCAAGTGTTACCGTCTCAGAAACCGAACGTCGCATTCGTCACTTAATAAAAATGGAAATATAGCTAGTTTAAATTTTAAAGTTACTTTTATCGACTTCAAAGAAACAAAAAAATTTAAATATGTTTAACTTTTTATACTATGTCAATTAGATTGATATAATATTTATGAAAATCAGTGTAATCCCCTTATAATAAAATAAAATACAAAACCAAGAATTTTAACACAATAATAGCATATTTTTAAATACGGTAGTTATTTTCACCATGTATTCTCCTAATAAGATATTTTAAAATAAAATAAAATACAAAACCTAGAATTTTAATAGAAAAATAGCATATTTTTGAATACGGTAGCCATTTGCGCATAGAAGATAGGTCGTCAGGACAAATTTTTTTTTTCATTTTATAGTACATAAAATAAGCTTTAATTTGATATATGTTTAAAGGACACAGTATTTCTGGAACATTTTCAAAAATTAAGTTGAAAAAGTTAGTTTTTGTAAAAAAATTGCTATTTTAAATCCCACCCAATGAGCAGGTTAAGTGTTAGATTTTCAATAAAATGATATCAAATAAAAGGAAAATATCTAAGGTTTTAGTATAAAAAAAAATTATGTTGATTTGTTTATTTTTGAAAAAGTTATGGAAGTTTTAAGAAAAAAAAGTGAAAATATGACAAAATTAACCGATTTTTAAATTTGTAATTTTTTTGGATATATCCCCCATTTGCGGAGAACGAGGGAAAATTTTTCAATTTTTAAGGGTAATGTCGTCAACTAGATACGATTTGTGATCTTTTGACGTATTGTTGAAAGAAATCGGTCCAGTGAGAGCTGAGAAAAAGTGGCAACAGACATAAAAAAAAAAAAAAAAACACATCATGGTAAAATTAATACCTTCTCAGCTTCGCATCGAAGCTAAATACAATTCGTTGTAACGCACACAACTTAAAAAACATACCGCTACGGACGAAAATTAACGTAACAGTTCCGATTATGGCTAATTTCTGACAAAACGTCCGTTGTTTGTCCCGGTGGTTCGATGGAGACAACACGGCTAGTCTTTAGAGTAGGGGGGGTCAACAAATTTTACTACCCAGTGCCGGAAATTATTAAGAACAATTCTAATTATAAGGCGACAATGTAGTTGGTGAGCAGTGCAAATGACGTTCAAGATAGGAAAGGAGCGGGTTGAATGTACACACAAATGCCGTCAATGAACCGATCCGAGTAGTACACAGCTGACTATCTCTCACGCGCGCAAACAAACCACAACACCAAAGGCTCGGGATTAGTTGAATGATAAACGCCGTCACATTCGGCTCAACAAAATTAATTTAGGATACATACCTTTTGTTACGATACAAAAAATAAATTTTTTTTTTATCAAAAAATGTTTTTAAATAAATTAAAAACTGTCAAACTGATATTTTTAGAAACAAAAATATTTCATATATATTATTTACAGGGTAAAAAGTCTTAAATAAACCCGCGGATAAAATATTTAAATATTTTAGCTTTATAGTACTAAAAAAATTGAATTTCACTTCAAAGTAATCCTATTTGATGTCCTACCAGATGCTCTACAATTGTATTTGTTATATTGTATTAAATTTATAAACTTCAAGATATGAACACTTGACGCGGCCACGGCGTTGTCACACGTTTGACACCCCGCGGTCGTGTCAGCTCCTTCTCAGCCTCCGCTCCTCTGTAAACTGGACCGTTACACACACGCGTTATCGTCTTGGTGTAAAGTCCAATAAATGCCTAGAGTCGAATACCCGCCGCAATAATACGTCGAGTCAGTTATCTTCGTGACACCAGCCTTTGCTAGTATTCGTCCGTACCACTTTCGATTTCACTGCAAGACATCGACGTATCGTCATCTACATTTTTACGTACTATTGTTATTCTTTAAGTATAGATTTTCTTTTTTTATTTAATTTTCAAATTAACGGCTCACGCCAATAAACCTATGAAACTTTGTGTAGTCTAAATCATTCAACAACTACTTCTAACACTATTTTATAAAAGTATGAGTGTGAAAAAAACAGTAAAATATATTTATAAATTCATAACGTCAAGAATTTTACCCTTATACAATTATAATCGTTAAATATATACAGTTTTAGATTTGGAAATATAGTATATTTCGAAAAAAAGTTAATAAATTGTTCAATTTTTTTGTTTTTTAGTTGACATACGCTATAGTGTTATATTTAGAAGTAGCCAAATTGACAACCCAATTGAGCTCAATTTATGGTAATTATATAGATTTTATTTTAACTAGGAATTTTCGATTATATTTACACTATAGAAATTTTTTAGGAAGTATATTATTTATATTTTTTGAAAAAAAAACTTTTTTTTATAGAATTTTTCATAAATTTATATCATGTATTAATCAAGTAAAAGATTTTTCCATCATTCATTTTAATTAAATAAACATAGATTCACCTGTAATAATCTACCAGAGAATATTCTTAAGAATATACGTGTTAGTAATAAGAAAATTTATTCGAGAATATTCTTACCTTATGTTTTATCAGTAATGGAATATATTAGTACCGATCTATAATTTTTGTTATTTAATTAAAAATCAATTAGAAATTAATATTATATAAGCCATCACAAATTTAGTATCAAAATTTTAATCTATTATAAAAAAAAAAGCAAAACAGTATTTTTAAATATTATACTATGACCAAAACAAGTTGAGAAAAAAATAATAACAGTTACCAATTAATTTAGGTATCTACAAATAAAAATGTAAAATGACAAACATAGTAATATATTTTAACATACAGTTTTCGAAAAAATAGCCAATTTTGAACTATGTTACATAGCAATGAAACATCTACACTATTCAAAATTAAATCATATTATAGCTTATTTAATTAATTATATGGTTTTAAAAATGAAAGCCGTGATTTTATAACACAAGACAGGATAAAAATTAAATGACAGTGATTTTGATCACGATCAAAATTCAAACAACACTAATCTATAAACGGTTAAAAAATTCTCTTTATTGTACTTTTTTTTTTCTTTAACATAATAGAACAATAGTAGGGTACTTTTTTAATTAAGAAAAACCACTTCATGGTAAAAAAAATACCGCTTTATAGATAATATAACTTTATATTTAAAATAAAATTATACACATTAAATTTATATAAATTAAAAATTATGCACTTTTCGAAATAATTAAAAACTCAATACGATGAACGTATTTTGGAAATTTTAATTATGGAAATTAGAAATATGAAATTATTTATTCAATCATAATCATAATATTTACTTGTAAAACATATTATAAAACATAAATTATTTACTTTATATGTATTATGCTATTAAGATGTGTTACAACTTGACCCATTCTTCCCCGATTAAGTTATAAATCTATTCATTTATTAATGTTGAACGGGATAAAATTCATATATTTTTTTCAATTTAAAATTAATACAATATCACATGTTAAATTAAATTATACTCTTCAAAATAGATTTATAAGTATTATAGTTTTTTTTTCAAATATAATTTCATAAAAAGCAGATGGTAATAAACATATGCTTTATTTCATCAATTATTTCAAATAAGAAAATCCGTACATTTACATATATAAATAATTGATAAATTATATTTTAAATTAAAATTGTTCTATATTATTCAACTACATAATAAAAGTTTATTTTTAACCAGCTATTTAATACACATTTGTGACTACTACTTATAAATACTCTCGTACAATAATTCTTAATATTCAAAATTATTTAATTTCTATATATTTTATTTAAATACTACTAAATTTTAGTAGAATAACTGTAATGAAATTTAAGGATCTTTTAAAAACTCTTATAAAATAATAATATGTTACTCAGTAAAATGAAATGAATACTATCTTTATTCAAGCAATTAACCAATCGATTTGTGATATAAAATTTTCAGCTTCGCATCGAAACTAAAATATCAAGCGTCAGGACGTACAAACTCTTCAAATGGAATACCCAAAAACTATGTATGTCATACTTCAAGATCATCCTTATTATATAAAATAAAACAATGGGATAAAGTTTAGTCCAGTACTTATGTGAGTCACGCAATAAATTATGAAGAAATTTCTTATGAAGGTATAATAATGGAAAATGGAATTTTGAAGAATGTGATTTATACACGTGTAAAGAATAATCTTTATATTTTAGGTAATGCGATCACTTTGAACTTCATTGAAAGTGTGAGCTTTACATGCATTGATCCGTTCTACGAGTTTATAATGGATATGAATAAAAAAGTTGCTAAAATATCAGATTACTTGAAGGAATTTAGTAAAAATCTTGATCAACCTGTACCGATATTCAATAAATAATAGATATCTCTAAACCGTATGAATGTAATTTAAATGTTTACAAAAAACACGAACACAAATATAAGAATTACAAATTTAATACTGTAGACGAAGATTGCATGAGTGATTTATTAAGCAGCATGAATTTAATGGAAGATAAATTACACTTTATAAAAGAATCTTATGTAGTAGAAATGAATATTAGGGCAATATCGAATTAGTAAATACACATTGATATAATGATGAAATTATTAAGGATCTGTTGACTTTAGATCAACATTATGATTGTTATAAATGTAAAATGAAGATAAGAGTAAGGAGAAAATTTTTTTATACTAACGTTTTATTATATAACAATATTTTACGAAAATAAAAAATATTAATATTTGTAATTAATGAAACACTTTTCTGTAAAAATTTTTCAATCAATTTCAAGATATTAGAATTTATGGCTTATTTAATAAATATAGATTTATAAAAATTTCAAATTGTACTATAAGTATATATTTTGTGAATAATTATACATTTTTATGAAATTTCTCTTCGGAGGTGTCTGCTATAGTTTTTAGTTTTTGTAAGTTTTTTTTGATAGTGATTTTAATCAGTGTCAGATATCTGTGCCGCTACCCCCCTGTGCTGGGTTTTTTTATTTTTTGAGTTTTTAATTTGTTTTAATAGCGTAAAAAAATACATTTGANGTGCTGGGTTTTTTTATTTTTTGAGTTTTTAATTTGTTTTAATAGCGTAAAAAAATACATTTGATTAAAAAAATAATTTTAAACTGAAAATTAAAATTTTTAGAGAAATTAATTCCCATAATAATATTTAACAATTTTTTCTTTTTATTTGCTGTAGATCAAAGTTCTTGAACAAGATGTAAGAATGAACGTGATTGATAAAAATCATTTACATTTAAATAAATACATGTAAATATATAAATGATTTATATTTTTTTACCAAGTGGACATGGCTGGTACTGTAAATCGTGTACTAAATATATGACGCAGGGTATGTGATTAAGAGATTACAGGTACTCAAAATCTAAATATAAAATCACCTGCGAAAATAATTGGAAAAGGTATTTAAATTATAATTACTTATCGAAATATAAATGTAGAAAAATATTATTTTAATTAAACAAAAACATCAAACACAAAATGTTTGATGTTTTTGTTTAAAGATGTTTAAAGACCTTTTTTAGCTTCGATGCAAAGCTGAGAAGGTATTAATTTTACCATGATGTGTTTATTTTTTTATTTTTTTATTTTTTTTTTTTTTTGTGTCTGTCACTACTTTTTCTCAGCTCTCACTGGACCGATTTCTTTTAANTTTTTTTTTTTGTGTCTGTCACTACTTTTTCTCAGCTCTCACTGGACCGATTTCTTTTAACAATACGTCAAAAGATCACAAATTGTATCTAGTTGAAGACATTACCCTTAAAAATTTAAAAATTTTCCCTCGTTCCCCGCAAATGGGGGAAATATCCAAAAAAATTACAAATTTAAAAATCGACAAATTTTGTCATTTTTTTCACTTTTTTTTCTTAAAACTTCCATAACTTTTTCAAAAATCAACAAATATAATTTAATTAACATTATATAACATAATTTTTTTTTAAACTAAAATCTTAGATATTTTCTTTCATTTGATATAATTTTTTTGAAAATTTAACACTTAACCTGCTCATGGGGGGGGATTTAAAATTGCAACTTTT